CTGAGGATCCCCGGGAGGGAGTGAGAGAGGGGAGGAAGGGAGGGAGTGAGAGAGGGGAGGAAGGGAGGGAGTGAGAGAGAGGGAAGAGGAGGGAGGAAGGGGGAGAAAGAGTGACATGGGCTCATCGTCAGTGGCCGTTCGTGGGCGCACGTCGCCTGTGGGTGTGGACTCGTTCATGGGTGTTGTCGCGTGTCATTCGTGGGTGTTGTCGTGTGTCGTTCATGGGTGTTGTCGCATGTCATTCGTGGGTGTTGTCGTGTGTCGTTCATGGGTGTTGTCGCGTGTCATTCGTGGGCATCATCGCTTGTCGTTTGTGGGCGTTGTCGCGTGTCGTTTGTGGGTGTCGTCGCTTGTCGTTGGTGGGCGGTTGCTTGTCGTTGGTGGGCGGTCATCATTCATGGGCGTGGGCACTGGGCGTTTTTCGTGGGTGGCGGGCGTCGTTTGTGGGTTCTGGATGTTTTTCGTGGGTGGCGGGCGTCGTTTGTGGGTGCTGCGCGTTTTTCGTGGGCGCTCGTGGTCTGTGGGTCGTTGTTGTGTCCGTGGGTGGGGTCGTCATTGCATGCGTGGTCGTCTGTTGTTGTCGTCTGTCATGGCCGTTGTTGTTGTTGTGGTTGTGTGTTGTTGTGGCCGTTGTTGTTGTTGTGGTTGTGTGTTGTCATCGTCTGTTGTGGTCATGGTGGTCGCTATTGACGAGGCACGGGGGTGACGAGGCAACGTGGACGTGGTGGGTAAGCAAGAGGTTGATGGTGGTGTTGTCAAGTGTTGTTGTGGGTCGAGGGTTTGGGCAAAATTCCCACTCGCGGAATTCGCCGACGTCCTTTCTAGGAAGGAGGTCAGTACGTTGGTACATAGAGCATATAATACCTACCTATGATAATGCTGTTGTGGTGTAACTGGTAAAGTGCTTGATTTGAGTATCTGTGGCTTTGTCCATAAGGTTGAGAGTTCAATTCTGTCATGTTGCGCTTTTTTTAATATTATATAATAACAACAATAGTGACAAACTGCTGGTCCTACTGGGCTCCCTGTCCCTGAAAATTCCTACTGGACTCCTACTGGACTCCTTGTACTGGACTCCTACTGGACTCATTCCTTAAAAATCCAGCAGAATTCCACAATTCCTGGTGATTTGGGATCATTCCAGTAGGAGTTTACTAGGACTCCACTAGGACTAGGGTACAAAATTTGTATGGTGATCAGCCAGCATGAAATTTGTCCCAGTCCTAGTCCAGTCCAGTAGGATTCCGGGAATCCAGTAGGAGTCCAGTAGGAATAGGTGGGGGAGAGTAAAGAGCTCGTTGGAAGTCTTGCTCTGCTTGCCTAGTTTTTTTGGGAATCAGATTTACCCCTTCCTAACTACAGGTGGATGTTCATATAATATTTGTGAGGTGTGGATTCAGATTGATAATGAAAGATTTGTTGTGAAAGTGACTAAATAGGGTGTATTTCTTCTGATTTAAACTATACTGTGTCTACTGAAACCATCTAATGGTCATGAAATTTACATAGAACATCCAGAATGAAAAACTGAATGGATTCACAAAATTTCATGGAAATGAGAGGATTGTGGGGATACAGGTAATGGGATAGGTGTAGAGGGGTCACACTAACATCAGGAAAAAAGGTTTTGACCAATAGATCGCTGGTTAGATCAGTAGCCAATCGTACCTGGCATATTCATCAATAGCTTGGTGGGCTTCGTCATTGTGATGATTGTTGTCTGTAGGCTGTCGATCCGTCACATTGTGTAATGGGGCTGACAGAGGTGCCACTGCATCTATCAGCGGGTCTGTAGCTGCTGCCATGCGCTACAGTGGCTATCAGTACTACAAGGCCCTTGTAGACGAACAAACGGAAAGTGTCCTGACTGGGTTTTTGCACAGCTACACGAAAGGGGGGATTTTGAAATGTACTGTCTCGCTACCAGTACAGAACATGAATTGAATAATTTTGTAGTCAGTCAAAATGATGTCTTCTGATGCAAATGGCTTTCAATTTAGTGCAACGAACATTTGACAACAGAAAAGGTATCTATGTCTCTGTATGGATTCATGTAAGGGTGTGATGCGAGGTCTAAGACATTCTCTGTTGTCCAACTTCGATCTATCTTTGCACCACACTTGCCCATTAGATGACAACCCCTCACCAGTCAATCCACAGGGACTATTGCAGCGTTTCAGCGGGAGTAGTGAGTTGAGTGTTTAATGACGTGCATGCCAGTGCGAGCTTCGGGGGTGCCCAAAGGTGTGAACCATTCGATATATGCGAGGGGCTGGCAATAAGAACCAAATTGTTCAGGAAGGGAGAAGATGGCGCAGACTTGGGCAGCGCGAAGGCCTGAAACAGAATGTAAGTCATTGGAAGATATACACATGACAGATTGAACTGAACGTACATGCAATACCACCCAACGCTCGGTATTCCACGATGTCCTCTCCAACAAGGGCCATGTCAAACACTGCCGGCGCCCCTGCTTTCCTCCCCTTGCCCTTGACAGCCGGAATTGCCCTGATGCGGTTTGTGTGAATCTTCAATTCACTGAGATATTGGTTGGGGGGGAGTGAGACGATGACCTGCTTGAAGAGGTCATATGTATCATGAGCATTTGGGGTGATGTCGCAGCCAGGAATGTGTTCATGAAGGAAGGTGGTGAGTGCCGGAATGAAGTCGACAGCACCAAAGTCGGAAGCTAACCATGAGACAGGCACATTTTTGAAGGGCGCCTTCTTGGCAATCATGTACGACGTCGTGGGCACATCTAGGGTGGATGTGGGGAATGTCCATGCCGGCGCTATCATCTTCCTCCACATCCACCCCATCATCTACCCCACTCTCACGCAGCATGGCTTCAAGTCCTTTCTCAAGCCACATCACATAGCCCTCCCGGATCCACATTGCCTCTTGCCTTTGAAGCCACAGTGCCATTTGCTCCATCGGGTCTTGTTTGTTGCTAGTGCGATACGCCTCCTGCACAAACTCGATGTGCAGGCACTCGGGGGATTCGGAATTGTAGCCATCTGTGGAACCGAGGGCGTGGATGGCATTGATGTAGTGAAGAATGGCATGGAGTTTGGGTATGTTGAATTGTTCTCGAATTCCAAGGCAGATGTAGATTTCTTTGTGCTGATGAAATGTTTTCAGACAGTTTTTGAGTGCATTGAGAGAGGTGGTGGTGTGGGATTGAAATTGTGAGTAGTAAATGAAATCGATAAGAGCTCGTGCGACACTGAAGACCTCCCAGCTGACGGCGCCGGCAAGAACACCCAAAAACACCTTCTGCATTTCCTTATGCTCGGTGCCGGTCCACTGCGACACACCTGATATCCCCTTCTTGAAGTGACGAAGGCCTGGGCTTCCGGACATGGCCTTGAAACGTGCATCAAGCTCTTCCGCGCCAATAAGGGTTGTGCACCACTCGACGAGGTGGTCCTTGAACACGCCCTTGTGAAGTTGGTGGAGGAGGTCAGGTGTGAAGCATGCAAATATGTCACTAGTAGCTGCCATTTACATCATGTAAAACCTGGCATGTACCATAGAAGTTCCTGCTTAGCTACCGTGAATGAAATGAAATGAATTTTCATTCATTCATGGCAACTGTTTCATTCCAAGTCATTCTAATCTATTGCCGTGGAGAATGAAATACTTTTTGTTTCATTTCATTTCATTTCAATTTTTTCTTCATTTCTACTGACAAGAATGAAATTTATTCTGTTTCATTCATTCCTGGCGACTGTTTCATTTTTTTAATTTCATTCCACCATGGCAACTGTTTCATTTTTTGCTTTATTCTTCTGTTTCATTCATTCCTGGCGACTGTTTCATTTTTTTTTTTCATTCATTGCCATGGAATTTTCATTTCATTCTTTCCAGGCAGTTATTTCATTTTTGTTTCATTCTTTCAGGCAACAATTTCGATGTTTTAATACACATCTAAATAAGGAAATAATATACAATTATGCCTGATATGTGTTGTGCCCTACTGCAGTGGTGTGGGAGGCCATATGGGGGTATTTTTGCATTTGAGGCTCAAATACACAACAAGATAGGCATGCTGTTGCCAAATAAGGCACTTAAATATTCTGTATCAATTACATAATCATTTTCCCACCTCTAACAATGAAATAGGCACCTGAGAAGAATGAAGCAAGGAATGAAACAGTCGCCATGGTGGAATGAAATAAAAAAATGAAACAGTCGCCAGGAATGAATGAAACAGAATAAATTATCTAGAATGAAACAGGTGCCGTGAATGAATGAAAATTCATTTCATTTCATTCACGGTAGCTAAGCAGGAACTTCTATGGTACAGCTCAGGAGTACATGATGTAAGTGGTAGCTACCAGTCAATATGTCGCAGTGGGGGAGATCAGCCCAGAATGGTGAGTAAACAGCGCGCAATCCCCCGTTGTCGAACTCCTTTGGATCCTTACTGCTCTTGTGTTCGTCTAGTATCTCCAATGTGGCCCCAACGTCTCAAAAAAGCGATTCGACCGGACTGCCACACTCGTCTGGATCAACGAGACAGCGTGGGCACCGATTTTCTTTACAGCATGCAACCAGGCACTGCTCTGGATAGTCCACTTCAGTCACCCATTTTTGGGTACCTATGAGGTACATCAATTCCTTGATTTAGGGTACCTTGGGGGTACCCATTCCGGGGTGGTATATGAGCTCCATACCAATACCATGGTACCATGGAATGGAAAACCCATACCATACCCCACTCATACCAATACCATGTTACCATACCATACCAATACCATGTCACCATACCATACCATGTCCTGTTATACCATACCAGATGGTATGATGTCACTTCATACCATCATACCAAAGCTGTCATAGGGTGTCTGGGGTCCTTTTCCAAAATATATAAATTATTTCTGCAGGCTGCAATACTGGTCCATTGGGTGCCATTTTTTGTGGGGTGGTTCTCCAGGTTTTTCCTGAGATATTAGGCTACAAATTGAGGCCAGATAGTCCAAACCATCTATTGAAAATGAGTTGAAATAGGCTTTATCCCAGCTTTCCCATGCATCCAAAGCCATTTAATGATACATATCTTTCCCAATCCTTTCTATTAGAACAATATTCATCCAAATCAAACAAAACCACATCTATTGT